TATTATTATATATATATATATATATATATATATATATATATATATATATATATATATATATATATATATATATATATATATATATATATATATGGTTACAATACGATATTGTATAAAAGTAGGGGTATACTACATAAATACTATATAAAAATATACTGTATCAATACTAAATACTATATAAAAGTAGGGTTACAATACGATTGTCATTTCTTTCATAAACCAAATGGAGCAATGTTTCATCTGATCAGTATTATATGCAATCAATGTCAAGTGTCGTTGTCAAGCCCTCAGTGTCGTTCTTGAGGTTTCAAATTCTTGCAGTTTTTCCTTCGAATGTTTATTTCGAAACTGCGTAAGAATGTCATCAAGAATCATTGTTTAACTTGTATCGACCATGATTTGTTGATAGAAACGGTAACAAAGAAATTGGACACAGATAAAGGATTTATCGATTCCAATTTACTATTACAACTAATATTACAACTAATAGCAATACCCGCTACGATCTGTTATTTATTAGTTAAGTTGATTTTGTTTACTTTTCTCAAAACTCGATGGGACAAGTGGGAAATCAAAGAAACAAAGCATAAATGATATAACAACACTGCGAGTGACAACAAAGATGGAGGGAGTGTCATAAAAAAAAGATGTGGCAAGTGAATGTCGTCATTGTTACAGTTCCTCCATCAGCGAAGGTAAGTGAGATGGTTGACGTGACAGTTTCGGAGTTATTGAATAAGGTTGCAGAAATTGGCGTATTTGCAACATAAAGCAAATTGAGTGGATGGTTCTGAGAAATTTTAACGCAAGACTAATAAAATCGAATATAGTTGAAGGAATGATGGCCAGTTAACAGAGAAATCTAATTTTATGAAAGACGAGACTGTAAAAAAGTAGATGAAGTGACCAAATGCAGTAATGTATCTGCTTGTTATAATGAAGGAAGAGAACGAAAAAAATGTGTAACAGTGACGCCATCTTCCTATCTTTTACACCATTTTTTCCTTCTTTGTCCCAGGTCTTATGGTCCCTTGTTCTACTATCCCCTTTGCTCAGGTGATATTCAATATCATGATTGTGTCACATATAGAAAATTAATTTCATTAATTATGTTGCAGGTAAGGAGAGATTGACAGCGCCCTCACTATGGTACAGTTGGATCTAATTTATGACTCTGGTTTCAATTGATTTTTTTTACTAAATAATTTCGCTTTCCTTCTTTTTTTCTTTATCTTAAAACTTTCCTTTCATCGATTTGTCTTATTATTACTGCGATCTTCTTAATTTGTCGAGATGTGATCGTCAATTTTTATCAGATGTCTTAATTCCACCTTATGAACTTTGTCACTTTATCAATTCAAGAGTGTTTCTTACGAAAAGCCTCAGATTCTCTTCCAGATCAGGCAATCTTGCGTCCTTCATTGTGCCACAATTTGTCAGCGTTACTATAATCATACTGATAATACCATTAAGTACATATAATTGTGTAAATTTGTATCTTATCTAATTGAAAGAAGTTAATGAATGAATCAGAAAACTGCTTACTATGAATGAGCTGTCAATTTGGATGTTTTTGAAATGAACAATCATTCAAAATTAAACAATACTAGTATGTAATTCTCCATGATGTAAACATACATTTTAATTGCATTGTCTCTATTAATTGGTCATTGTCCCATAACTTGTCAGCTGCACCATGCATAACAATCGCCATAACTGAAATTGATGCCAGAATATATCAGTACAACATTGCGGAACAAATAATCTCTGAATTTGTTACTGTCGCTTTAATTAATCATCCCTTTAGGATATAGGATGTAATTCTGGTTTATACATTTTATGAATTCCATTCCGTCAAACCATCTGAGTATCAATTACTCTACTCTCGTCGCCTTCGCGGTAAAGAATGAGCGTCTGTGACATTCGTACTGATAACAGTTAGAACTCAAATTACCGGAAAAGTAATGACCTGACAGGGGATGATAGGGGTGTCACCGGGAATTTCACTTCATTTGAAGGTAAAGTGGAATGATAAAAATAGACGAGATAAATACCTCCGGGGACAGCTCCGGGGACAACGCCAGGCGGCATCATTGCACCACAACAAATGACGAAAACAAAAATTTCGACTAGCTTTGCCATATCTGAAGTCGCAGTTACAATGTTGAACCGATATATCCGAAAGTATTCGTTGCATTAATTAATTTGTCATTAATTTGCTCCGATCTCAACTGCGATATTGGTCCGGACACAATGCGGTACGACATAGCTTGCTAATTTTGTTGTTGGAGTAGTGACATTTACGGATGAATTTATTCGAATTCCGTACTGCTCTTCAAGATTTAGTTTACGACCTATTACACTGTCATGCCTTTTTTGCAGCTTGTGGTTTGAAAGGGATTGAAAAGAGAGTGAGAGATATGGTTCATTTATCACCGGATCATAGAAACTTTAAGTCAAAAAAAACTTTTTTCGAAGAAGTTCCTGATTAGCTGGTTAGGAAGCGATTACAATCAAAACCTGGTACATAAAGCTTGTAGGATATATTAGTTGATGCTTGTGACTTTCTTTAAACTCATATAGTCAATTTTCAGAACTGTAGTTCGTTGAAAACTGGATAATTAGTAAGTTAATTCTGTCCATATCATTGAATCTTAAATCAAAATACCGCTCCCACATCATATCCTATAGCAATTTAAATAAACTTGAGGACGATGTCTCGAACTCTGACGGATATACGCAGTGGTTTTTGTCAGTTTGACCAGCATTCAGTCTACAACTAATTTATCGACCTATATCTGTAAATTTATTCTTGAATACTGTAATTCTACATGATGAATAACCAGAAAACTTTGTCAAGAAAGATTATGATTTGCTGCAC